CAAAAATTTTAGTCGTTCTGCATACTTAAAATTGAAATTAAATTTAGAAATGGCAAAAAAAAAAAAAAAAAAAAAAAAAAAAACTTTCACGCGTATAAATACATACGTGTAAAAATCATGGTTACTTCTACTTTATTATTATATAAATCACGTCACACTTACGAAGCTTGTAAATATATTAGAAGAGTAATAAATCTACCCATGTATTAGGGAAGATCACGATGACAATCAATTTGGTTTTTTGTATTGATATGGAAAATGGTTTTTACAGACTCAATTATTACCCAAAACGTATATCTATGTAAACATGTTCTTGAAATATGTACGGATATTTAAAATTTAATTCAATAAAACACTCTTGAAGGAAATTTGCCTTCTTTTTTAATTAATAATCCACCCTTATAATAAAATTGGTCATTTCCTCGCGAACGCTTTTCTTGCTTTTTAAAGGTTTTTACCTCTACATTCTACACCAACGGAGTATACATTTATTGTATAACATTTTCTCTTGCAGATTGAAGAGAAGGTATCAACCATTTGAAGTTTAATTTGATGTATGATAAGTATAGGCCATCAAGCCAAGGGGGTAGAATAAAAACAAAATTAGAACTTTCCCAAGCTTTCGACCCGGGCTTCAAGGTCATCATCAGAGCCTATATTTTCAAACAAATTAACAACAATTAATTAACAGTTACTTTATAAAAACAAACAATTACCAATTTTTGGCTCAGCTAAGTACTGACTATATTGTTTTTTTTTTTTAATTTGTAGTAAAGTGACATTACAAGAAAATACATAATCGAAATCTCTAACTAAAAATTTACCTCAGCTATAAGATTGAGAAGGACACGTGATAACATAATCACACCTGCGAAGTCCTCTCCCTTACAAATTGTAACAAACCCGAATAAGCTGGACTGATTTTTTGAAAATCATTCTGCCCATTACAAGAATTCTCCTCCACGTTAATGTACAAAGTCTCCTTTTTTTTTTCTTCCCACGTCTGAAGATTCTAAATGCAACACGACCATGTTTTTAAAATCAAAATTGGGCCCGGAGTTGTGAAAACCAGGTTAACAATTTGGATGAATTTTTTCAATCATGTTTATGTGCGTACATTCTATTTTTAGCCTTTGCTTGGTCTGGCGTATGAATTTTACAGGGTTTCCCAAAGAGGATACTCTACAAATAACTTCCCTAGTTTTCTTGGTCCATTTGACCAATTAATATCTTTCAATTAATTAAAATAGCCTAACTTCCCACCTCAAACCCACTTTTTGAATTTTCCCTCCTTTTTGCCCAAAAGGTGGGGTTGAGATGGGAAGTTAGTGTCCGAGTGGATCGAAGTCACGATAGCTCAAGTGGTAGAGTAGCGGCGTATCCAGCCGAAGGTCGTGGGTTCGAATCCCGCTCGTGTCACTGACTTTTTTTTATCTCAACTAAAAACCTTAATTAATTCTATAAATAACGTTAAACGCGTTACAAAAATCATCTTTATATTTTAACTTTGTGAAGAATCTATCCACCCTATTCGAATACTTATTTATTACTTATATGAAATATTTATGGAATATTATTACTTATATGGAATATTTACATCAGGTACATTGCTTTTTACGAGTATCTTCACTTTATTGCTAATGACAGGCACAAATCCTAGACATACCTGTTTCTACATAGAACTCTTTTAAGGTGGAATGTTTTGACTGGTAAATATTTCGGTTAAATTTTGATTAATTAGCTTTACAACCAAAGAATGAGGATAGCCATTAGACTTCATTAAAAAAAAAACAGGGAAGTAGTTACCTGCCAAAAATTGGTAACAATGGCTAAAGAGGAAAAATTCATGGCTGAAAAATCAGTACAATGTAAAAAAAAATCAAGGACTGTAAAACGCGCAAATAATCTTCATGTTTGATAAAAACTTCTTTTGAATGCTATTGTACCGCACATCAACCTTCATCTGAACGAGCGCCAAAAATGCAATGCCCCTTGGGCACAAATCGACCTAAGGAGTTGAAAAACTACCAGATAAAAAGTTATACTTCATCGTTCCGTTAAGTTAAAAAAAGAATACCTCGAAGCAAAGTGCAAATATGGATGACAGCAAGATGGATGACCTCGTTATCGACGAAGACGCCGCTAAAATTCACCAGATGGCAAACTATTGCTACAAAAATCGGAAAAATCTTGATCACTATCTACTGTTTAGCTTGTTAATGAAAAACGAGCATATGTTCGATAACAGGCTAGAGCTTAGACATGAATCACTGTTGTAAATTAAAAACCACATAAATCTACCTTTAAACAAATAAGGGATCTTTCACTAGACACTGTTTATCTTGCACTTTTCGAAACCTAAATGTTCGTCTTTATTTTTATTATATTGCCTAATTACCTGCCTTTTTGGTTCAAGAGTTTCAGACATATATTATATTGAATTATTATTTCATACAGCTAGAGGAGGTATGTACCACCTGCAACACGTTGTGTACTTACCGATCCGAAAAATGATATAACTTTTTTAAATAAACCTGACGCGTCAATGTTTTTTTGACCAAAAGTTCAAAAAATAGTAGCAATAAAATAAACAATATAAAAAAATAAATTTTCTTGTATTCCTAAATTAATTGTTAAAAGACCTATCAACACATTCGATTATCATTTTTATACCTCATTTGAAAAAATATTGAAATGTTCGAGAACCCGCACTCTATGGCTGATTAAAATAAATTTCTTAAAGAAATTCTGAAGAGTGAAAATAAGTTATTAACGAAAATGTAGTGGGTTTGTCCCCTCCCCCAGAAATATCAAGTACTTTGGAGAGTGGATGCGACCAGACTTACCGGGTATTGTGTTTATTTTTAAGAATAAATGGAATATATTAGCGTGAAAGGAAGAGGCATTAGTGAGATTGGAATGGGTTCAACCCCCATTTCTGAGGAATCTCGAGTACTCTGGGGGGAACAAATGAGACTTTTATGCTTTTAGTCATGTACATATGTATTTTGTTTTATGTCTATTCCATAATTGAGGTACTAATGAGAAGGTATCATTTTAGGAAATGGACATTTTCATATAAAAGCAGAGAATCAGTAACAGATCGAGATTTTCAAATGGCTGCAGATTGAAAAATATGAGTGAAAGTCCAAAAAAGAAGTAAAAATACTCAGTAAGCCGTAATGACCTCAGCTGTTTCTAGGCCTCTAAACGTCCCACATTAATATTATTATTTAAAAAGTATTGAAAGGCTTATTATCAAAATAAATTTTTTTTACAAATTCGAAATTATAAAACATAAGATTTTATGTTAGATTAATAAACAATTTTTTAGATGAAATTGTTTTTAAAGTCCTTATGCTGAAGGTGTTCTTTTTTAATGAAAATTACGATTCTTTTGACATCCTGTGCGATTTTCAAGAAAATATTTTATTTCTGGAAAAAATTAATTTTACATTATTCCTTTTAAATATTTAAATAATTTATTCATAATATTTATCTTATGCTTTAAAAATTATATGAGCAAAAGTTGAAAAACTTAAATGAAAGCTTTAAGTTATTAAATAATTAATGTTTAAAAAAAATTTATTCATAATATTTACCTTAACTTTGTGAAAACATTTTAAATATAAAAAATTGTTTCAGAACAAGTTGAAAAACTTAAACGAACGCTTTATATTATTATATATATAATGTTTTTGAAACTAATTCATATATTATTTATCTTAACTTTGTGAAACCATTTTAAATAAAAAAAAGTTATTTCATTAAAAGTTGAAAAACTTAAATGAAAGATTTAGATTAATAGATACTAGATATATAATACAAGAAATTATATTTTATTTACTAAATAAAAAAAAACTACTAAATAAAAATAAAAAGAAAAAGCCATAAAAATAAATTTTTAATCTAATAAAAGAAAAATAAGAACAATATTAACGACAAAAAGATGGAATAATTTTTTGTTGGAACTACTGTTAAATTTCAGTTATTAACAAAATAGTTTTTAAAGAAAAACATTTTAATTGTCAATGCCCATTTTAATAACATTATTTAGTGATTTACAATAATAAAAGTTAAAAGAAAATGTTTAAGTCTAAATATTAAACGACAGTGTCTTATAAGAAGTTCTTCTCTTTTTTCATTCTTTATTCCGGCCAATTTACGACTTGATAAGTCAGAAAGGGGGATGGGAAATATTTTTAAAATTAAAAGAACCAGTGCAAACGTGACTGGCTACCTTGATGTTCCATTGTCGAGGTAACAAGTAGCCCCATTAGGGGTTTTCTTTGCTTTCGATTTTTTATATAAGAGATTGAAAATAGCATTAAAATAAAATTTTGAAGAAAGCCTGGAATGGTAGGTAAGCAGAATGTGCTGAAAAGCTATTTAGAAAATGACGAATATATTTTGTAATTATAAAAATCTTGGTCTATTATCATTTATATTGATTTTTTATTGGTTTATTCAACCTATTTTTGGGTCCTTAATACCCCACGTTTAATTTTAGATTATCAATGTATTTTTAATATTTATATAAAAGGGAAATATAAACTATTTAGAAGAAAATTCTAACTGGTTTTAATTAAATTGTCACTTCGCTATAAACATATTGCCTTATTGCGCATGCAAGCCAGACTGAGAATGTTTTCGTGATTTGAGAGAAATCGATATCTTATTAAGAATACATTTTTTAATTCATTTAAATTCGGATGTTAGCCCGGTTTGTATATGGCATAATGTTATTAATCCAAAAAGCACGAACGTAGATTTGTACAAGATTGTCACGAATTATAACAATTAAATAAAGTTTTTATCACATAAACTTGATTTCGCTATTGAAATTTCTTTTGGGCTATTTTTTTAAATACGCGTGCTAAAAGCTAGATTTTTTCATGGCCCAGAAGCAATTCATGCAATTTATTTTGTAGTAAATCGGTGCGTGGTGTATTGTTTTAAAGTCTTTCGCAAAACAAAGCAATTGAACATGAATTATTTACCTGGTTGTGTGTGTTGGACTAGGTTTTCAGAAATTCCTAGAACAAAAAAAAATCTTTATTAGGATCATATTAAAAAACAGATTTCACTATGTGAATACTAAGAAAGGCTCTTATCGTGAACTCCCTAGATTAACGTTGGTAAATATACAAATGCGGTTGATATGATCGATAAAAAAAAGAATTAGACCTTGTGTAATCTGCAATCAGTCCCATATTGAAATCATATGGTTGACATGCATATGCTCGATATTTCAACCGCTCAACGTGATTATCACAAAACCTAAGGTCTATTTATAATAAAGTCGATTTGATTGCTACCAGTTACCAAACTAGATTATAGTATATGTAGGCATACAGACACATGGTGCATAATCAACCAAAACTATTTTGAGAAAGTGTATTTTATCACTACCTTGCATTGATTTAGTACTAATCTTAGCTTTAAGTTTTCTTACTGCTTAAAATTTTTATAACTTAAAATTCAAAGGAATTCATTTATCAACTATTTGATCGATTAAACAGTGTAACGTGCTTGTAGGTCTGTCCGAAGAGGGGGAGACCAACAGTTCTGCAACACTTACAGGTCTTGCGGGTTTAGTATACCGACAGCCCCGTTTAAAAACGTCCGGATCGAAAGATATGTACTAATTTGTAATTATGTTTATCAGCTCATGCTTAATTATATAATTACTCAATTAATTATACACAATTTTTTCAAAATGAAAAATTTGTGTCACAGGCGGGATTCGAACCCATAACCTCAAACAAACAATGTTTCTATACGAAGCGGCGATTTGCTTACAATTAGAATGAAACGGGAAGTCGAAACAGGAAGTTCGTGGCATTGGGCGGTCGAAGTGCGGCGTATTTAGCCGAAGGCCGTGGGTTCGAATCCCGACTGTGACACAAATTTTTCATTTTGAAAAAATTGTGTATAATTAATTGAGTAATTATATAATTAAGCATAAGCTGTTAAAAATAATTAAAAGTTAATAAATATCTTTCGATTCTGACGTTTTTAAACGGGGCTCTCAGTATACTAAACCCACAAGACCTGTAAGTGTTGCAGAACTGTTGGTCTCCCCCTCTTCGGACAGACCTACGAGCACGTTACACTGTTTAATCAATCAAATAGCTGATAAATTAATTCTTTTGTCTTTTAAGTTATAAAAATTTTAAGGAGTAAGAAAACTTAAAGCTAAGATTAGTACTAAATCAATGCAAGGTGGTCATAAACTACACTTTCTCAAAGTAGTTTTGGTTGATTATTGAAAAAATTCTGTTTAATTAATTGAGCAAAAGATATTTGTCTGTATTTCTAGTTTATAAATACTAGTGGCCTGTTGGGACAATAACCCCATTCTATAGTCAGAAACATGGAACGATATGATTTATGAACGTAGGAAAACTGATTGCGAATAGCAAGTCGATATGAAGAAAACTTGTTAGTCGATCACTGACCGCCAAAACCGCGTGGCCTAGTTTTTTTATTTTCTTAGCGTTTTCGCTCATCCACAGCTTTGGAGGGGACTATGAAACATAATTGACCGTATGGCGGAAATTCGATATGAATTAATGAATATGATCTGAACATCCATGTAATACCCATTGAACCTAAGCTATCCTCGATTTGGAGTTTTAATTCAACAAATTTGTTATATGGAGCAAGTGAAACTGCTTTTTGCTTTTCGTCGTGTTCAGAACGCTTCCTTAATTATTCATTCTAACTAAAAAACTGTTTAGGTCGCGGTTAGTACAAAAAACACGATAAAAATATAGTATAATATCAGTAAATAGAACAATTTAATACTATAGAATGTTTTGTGTTAAGTCACAGGCTACAGATTAATACAACAGGCGAAAGATTTATTCGTTATTTCTTCACATTTTACTATTAAAGCCGGCGCCCATCAAGGACCAATTCTGGGTCCAACATATTTTTGAATTTTTCTAAACGCTCTTCTCTAACCTAAATGCTGCCAACTGGCACTATACACCGATGATATTGCGCTTTACGCTTTTGCTCCTGGCAGATAAGTGCGATACTCAAAAATATTAATTCGAAAGAATAAAGCGTTTTTGCACTGATGGAAGCTAAAAAATAAATACATCGAAAACAAATCTATTCGCCAAACGTTTACCCTGGCACTTCCTTAATATTTCACTGAGGGAAAATGTTAACTGGTCGAAGAAAGTAATCTACCAAGGTGTAACACTCGATTCAAAGTTAAATTTTGGCACTCGCATAAACCATCTTGTGAGCAAAGGGAAATCAGTAATACGATTAATTTCTCCTTTGGTGATCAATTGCTTTCCAATAAACTATTAATATTTAATATCGTAGTACATAGAAATTTCAGCATGGAATTTTACCAAACAAACACTAATAGGATATAAGTAATTCAAAATAAATTTTTGGGGCTCGCCACCGTTTCTGCCAAAAATTTAAGGTTTACCGAATTGCATGAAAATACAAACATGAAATGGATAAAAGAGAAAATTCATAACGCGGTCAAAGAATTTTTTAGGCGTACGGAGGACGCCACAAATCCGATTTGCAGGTCCAGGCGTATACCACGTCAGCTAAATAGAAACATAGACGAATTAAGCATTATTTACTTGAACTTCAATCTAGTTTAGTTAGAAAAAGAAATTGCCTTCCATAACAATATATTTGTTTATTTATTTACTTATTTAAATGCATTTTTTATTATGTATCTTAAATGTATATACCTAGTTATTTATACGATAGATTAAATTCTTCTTTTTTGTGGTGTTTAGCAAACATTTGTTCTACGATACAAATTTTCTACGCTAAATAACTTTTTTGTACATATTCAAATGGTATTGTAGTAGGAAGTTAGGGTGCTACGTCACTTTCCCTACGCTCTCTTATTATATTTTTTACAAATAAACATTCATTCATTAATACAACAAAAATACAATACACGATAATAAAAATATACTACACCATAACACAACACTATATTGCTGAGACGTGCTGTAACTATAATTGCAAGGAGAGACGTTCAGCCATTGGTGATTCACGAAATTTGAATTTCCACCACAACCCTACCAATCCTAATTATTACATTTATCGTTCTCACGATTAATAATTTACACTTTTGATAATTTTCCGAATAAATTTTGGGGTCAGGGATTTCGTTTAACCCATCAGGAACTAAAATCGTGGAACGGTTCGGCCGTAATTTTGATCGGAGTTTCAAGTTTTCACGAATACATAAAGATGTTAATTGTGCGTCATGAGATGATGGGTTTGTTTTTATCGAATAGAAATAACAGTATATTTGTTTAAGTGAGAGAAAGAAAGAGAGAGAGAGAGAGAGAGAGTGAGAGAGAAATGAAGAATGGCATACAATTCAAATTTACTAGAAAAACAAATATATGTATTGATACATTGATAAATAAATAGATAGGTAAATAGATAAATAGATTCAGAGATAAATAAATGGATAAGTGGGTGGATAAATGCGGAGAGAGAAAGAAAGAGAGGGAAAGAGAGAACGAGTGAACGACAGATAGATATATAGATAGATAAATATACATATATATAGATAAATAGATTAGATAAACAGATTGATAGATAAATAAATATATAGCTAGGTAGATAGATAGATAGATAAACAGATATATAGATAGATAGGTAGATAGGTAGATAGATAGATAAATAGATATATAGATAGAAAAACAGATATGTAGATAGATAGNTATATATAGGTAGATACATAGATAGATAAATATAGATATAGATATAGATAAATAAATAGATAGATAAGTAGATAGATAGTAGATCTCTCTCTCTCTCTCTCTCTATCTATCTATCTATCTATCTATCTAACTATCTCTATCTATCTATCCATCTATCTATCTATCTTATCAGTATGTCTATCAAATCAAACACCCAATGCTTTCGGTAAGTTTAAAGTTTTTGTTCAGTTATTAACAATGAGAAAAAATGGCAAAGAAAAGAAAAGAAAAAAACGAAAGCCCATGTTTCTACGTTGATGTGTCGCAGTTCAAAAATCAAGTTAAATAATCAGGAATAATAGAGATAATTTGTTAAAAATATTACATAGCTGATACATCCCAATTTAATTATATTTATAATTTTTTATAGAGTAGCAATATTTTGAAGGGTTTGGTGTTCTTGAAATATTAAGTGTTTACACAATTTAAATGTCGTTAATTTTTTTTTTTGCTCTTTTCTGACCAATTTTGTCTATCTGTTCTTTCTCTTTGGGTCTATCAAGCTCGTTTCGGCCATCACATGTAGACCTTGAAATTAATATCTTATAGGCAAAAAACCAAAGTTAGTATCCTTTTTTGAGACCTGGGCACATCTTTGCTCAAATAAAACACCCACGTTACATTTTACATTATCCAAATTTTTTGCAAATTAAAAAAAAAGATTCAATAAAAATTCTCAACAACATGTCTGTAAATTTTTCAACTTGAGAGCGGAATTGTGGTGAGTAAAAATTCAAAGAATATAATTTCAAAAAAATGTTGATTGAATTGGATTAGTTTACGTCGGTATGAATAATTTATATACTAGGTATTATTTAAATATAAAAACTCACTTTTTCTTAAACAATTGTAATTAAAGACTGTTCTTGGTAGAACAATTCGTTTTGTAATAAATCAACTTGAAAATATGCTGTGTTATTAAATTAAAACGGTTTCAAGAGAATTGAGTATTATTTCCTGGAAAAATTATCATTGTTATCATCATATCGAAACGTTTACTGCTCCAATTTTAATTTATAAAAATGGATAGCAACAAGCAATGTTCAAATTAGAAAGAAATAAATGGAATAAGTAATTGCTTTTTTTAAAGATTTTTTTAAAATCTCTTTTAGTCGGATTTAAGCCTTTTTTTACCCCATGATTAGCCGGGATGATGATTACGTGAGCTGTGCCGTTACTGCAACCAAGCACGGGGTGAAAGTCCTCGAAAATCCCCAGCCCTCATACCGTTTCTCTAATGAGAAAACACCCGTGAGCGGGCGATTCAA